GGTACAACATATCCATCCTCCTTTATTTCATATGACGGAAGGTGGACGTGGCTATCGAAGGGATCTGAGTAGTGTTCGTGAATGATTTTTTCCGTTGCCTTTTTGGACGCTGTAACTGTTACGTCTGGGCGTCGGAGTGGAATCATTTTGGTCCTGTAATTGGCGAAGCTTCGGTGGGCTTTACGAATGCTTTTCCCAGCCTCTGCAGCTTCGACAATTACTGCTGCTCTTCTCTTTCTAAGTTCTTCTTTTATCGCCTGTCTGCGTTGTTTTGCAAGTTCGGACGTTAGCTGGCGGTTGGCTGCAGCTCGTGCGAATCCACGCTGGCGTATCAGCTCGAGTGTTTCTGGAGACAGACGTCTCTTGGTGACTTTCGAACTCTCAGTTTATATAGCGTCAACGTGAAGATGTTGAATGAGCAGATCGTATTCCTTGTCGATGTTATCGACAACGGCATCTTCTAATAGAAAGCCGAAACTCTATTCTTAATATTTTATTTAAAATGCACTACTAACAATTTTGGAAAACCACACAATATTATTTTATACATAACGCTTGATTTACAATTTACTCTAGGAGGCTAATATGTGAAACAGAGATCATACCAAATACTTGCTCATCATTAATGGCGGAATTCCGTGGCAGACCCTAGCCAGGCTGTCCTTGGGATCCAAAGAGAAGTACAATGGCTCAACCGACAAGTCACCAAGAAGAGAGAAAAGTGGAGATTGTGCTGGTGCCCGCACAACTAGTGAAGACGAGCTATCCAAGTATCCAAGTATTGGCAGTATAACAATACGACAAGGTAAAAAAAATGTAATGGGTTCAATAATGGTCAAAAACCATGAGAGAACTCCGTAGAATAAGGGAAGAAGCAAGTGCCGACTAGTAATAAGCAGTATAAGCTCAAAAGAGCTCAGTCATCTGTGAACTATTTTTCTCTCAAACCCACAACTCTTTTTTAAAGCTACGAAGTCAACACATGCGACACTTGCGGATTTTAAAGCCGAAACTGCCCACAAACCGGGAAGAAGTACATGAATAATAATAATAATAATAATAATAATAATCTTAACCTTACATTTACTGCCTTTTTCTTTTCAATGGCAGGGTATGTTGCGAAATATAACTCGTATACAATGCTGAGATATTTGCAAAACTCCGGACCGCAGGTGTATGCGGTGGGGAACGAACACGCGCTGTTGTCCTTACCGGGGAGCAACGCACTTCACCACCACACCACCCGGGTCCTTCGTTTTGTCTGTCTCTCAGCTAGTTCTATCGATCATCTTCGATCTGCTGATGGCAAAAAGACTCAATTTGGATAGAAGCAGTCATGGAGGCCCTTGACAGCAAGGTAGTCCCTGCTCAGTACATAAAGATTCTTCGTGAGCTGTACAAAAACTTCGCAACCAAGATATCACCATTCTACAACGATATTAACATTGACGTTAAAAAAGGAGTTAGGCGAGGCGATACCATCTCGCCAAAATTATTTACCGGCACCCTCCAGAACGTCATGCGAACATTAGAATGAGATAATATGGCAGTGAAAATCGATGGTCGGCAGTTACATCATCTTCACTTTTGTGATGACATCCTTCCTATAACACCAAACATTAGCCAAGAGGAACGTATGCTTGACGACCTTGATAAAGTCTCTGGAAAGATTGGTCTTCGACTAAATCTCACAAAAACGATGTTCATGAGGAACGGATTGATATTGTATGAGCCATTCAAGCTGAACGGAACGAATATCTCCGAATGCTCCAGTTATATCTATCTAGGTCGGGAAACCAATATGATGAACGAATTAGCACCAGAGCTGAGCAGAAGAAAACGAGCGGCTTGGGGACCTTTCAAGAGCATCGAGGATGTAGTGAAGAAAACAAAGAACACCCGACTCCGTGCCCACCTTTTCGACTCAACGGTACTGGCTGCCCTAACGCATGCATCAGAAACCTGGTCGCTGCGTCAGTAGGATGAAAAATCACTCAGCGTTATTGACAGCGCAGTCGAAAGGACGATGTTAGGAGTATCCCGTTTCACACAAGTAAGGTAAGGGATCCGAAGCTTCGACCTGCGTCAACGATCAAAAATCAAAAATGGTGTTCTGCACGCCAAGCAGTCGAAGATAAGGTGGGTCGGACTCGTAATACGCATGAATGTCAACCGATGGACAAGAGGCGTTAGTGACTGGATTTCTTGGGAAGTGGAGGGAGGCGCTGATGAATCCTTGAGGGTTATCCTACCGAAAAACAGTGCCTGAAGGAATCTTCGTAACTTCAACCGAATAAGCTTATTCAGTGTACTCCACAAAATGTTCACGAAGATTATGGTTTTGTGCACATCGAAGACTTTGGACGATACACAACGAATTGAGCAAACAAAACTCTGACGAGGATTTTGCTGTATGTAGCACACCTAAACAATCTCAAGGGTCATAGAAATCTGTCGGGAATACCACCTGCCCTCCTCGTAACCTCTATAGAGTATGATAACACGTTCGATAGCGCCAAACTGAATTGAAGTGCTTTTCAACGAAGTACTATGTATCAACACCGGTACCTACCACACCCACCAGGGAAAGGGGTTCCATAGGGCGACAGAATATCGCCAAAGCTGTTTTCTCCGCCTGTAGTGGATAATCCTCCCAAAGCATTACCGCCTCAATGTGGCAAGGGACGTGCTGAGCCGTCCTGCGAAGCACTGCGTAGGGATTCATCCCCCGGCAGGGTCTCCCAAGCTGAAAAGAAGTCCGGCATTTCCATCAAAATGCCCAACTAAGAGTAAACCAGTACCAGGATCCACCACCGTCCTCGTATCAAACTAGTTGCGTGGTGGAAAATCTCCCACTAATCCACAAGGACTGCGACTGCCTGTGGTAGTGACGACCTGGAGCATACTTTTTCTAGGCCTACCTTGGAACTCGGGGAAACCAAAATAGTTAACTAGCAATGTTCCGAAAAGTGGTTATGCTGGGGTCCACACAATCAGTGAAGACGCGCCACATAAGTATTTGGCGAGTTGTATGAATGTTCCCTTCAGAGACATTGAGTTACTCGAATGTTTCATAAAATATGCAATCTATCGACGTTGTTTTTCATGATAACATGTTCAAAATTAACGAGTGTTTTGTCACTGTTTCCAATTCTACCATGTGGCGGAATTTCCGGCTCTCCATCACATAGGTTCATCGTTACTAAACCTTGTAGCAGCTCACCATGCCAACCAAGTAAGCGGACATTCATTAATCCACGAAAGCTATCTTCTGGCTGTAAACCGGTTTTTAAGACAAGAGGAGGTCATATGGAGAAAGAATCACTGCGGTCGCCACTTTTCTCGAACGTTTGCTCATTGTTATTTCAAATTAATGTAGTATCCTAACCAATATCAGCACGGTCTAGCTGTAACAATGAGCACAAGCGTTATTCGAAGAAACTATGTAAGCAAAAAATAAGAGATAAACCGACACCTTTCCGTCCTTAATTTTTGTCTCCGCCAAATGAACATTAACAATTCCTGTTGGAGGTAAATCCGTCGTGTATAAATCAAATAACATCATTTCCTAAAAGTTAAGTAATAACTTGTTTAGAAGACGAACTCCTCATGTCCAGATGACTACAGGATTGCCCACTCAAAAAAAAACCAGCGCATACAAACTTGTCTCATGCTGAAATTGTTGTTATGCATGAAATGGTTGGATGGCACCATTTAAACTGCAATGTAACAAAATAAGCGGCTAAGCAACAATAGAAGAAGATGAACTCGCTATAAAGTCTCTATGAAAAAGAGGAAAAAGCTCTTGACGTTGATCTATCCTTAAGGGATGCGCCATGCATTTGACTTCACCAAGTCTCGTTGGAGGTGACTGAATGCATATCGGGCCTTTTACAATGATTCGCGGTGGTCTACCCATATATCAAGCCAGTGTTGATATTCTCTTAGATAACTACGGCGCTAATTTGCTGACCCCGGAGGGAAGGAGGGCTCGGCGGGCTTACGGCCCAGTTATCGATCCCATTTGTATTGCAGGGTTCCCCCGATCATTGGACTAGACGAACCTCTATCATTTCTGACAACGCTTAAACTACAAATATCAGCTAAACCAAGTAACCGTGGTACAAGATCAACATTATTTAATGTTTTTCCTACGTCTCGTTGTAACGTTTTCCACCAAAAACTTCTTTTACAATCCTGTGGCCTCATTTCATAACAAACTCGTCAACTTACAAAGCCTTAAACTACACAACGCTATACACCAGTTCCTTCCTAGCAATGCATTCCTTGCGGACATGTCGTCATCGACCTCGTCGTAGGGTCACATCTTTAGTGGAGCGAGCACTATACTAACTATTAGCCAAAATAGTTACTATTCCTTCACTTCAATGCACACTAACGAGGCTAATCCATCAAGTGCTCGTTTGATGAACGGCGCTTTAGCATCGCGAGCTAAACGGCGGACTAACGATGCAATCAGGAGGTCTCGGCCCGATGAAGCGGCCAGGACCCTACTGTATACGCTTCGCGGTGAGGTGGCGAACGCGGTCAACTTGCGAGGCTCATTAGATCATCCTCCTCCCCTACCCGCGGTGGTGCGGGCAGTTTAGAATAATTTGATGGAACCACGTCACGATGACTTTGCAATGATAGGGTAATGGTAAGATGATAGGGTGATAATGATAGTTATATATCACGTTTTGCGAACACTATATAAGGGCCTCCGTCAGCTGTAAATTTATTTGCTTCCAGCTGACTGAAGAGCTTTATGCGGTGCTACTTATACTCATCGTATTCACTTTAAGCATCTACTATTCAAGCACTCTCAACTCTCTTTTGTTCGAAAGCATTCTCCACTCCGTTGTATCATCTTACATGCATGACAATATTCAGTTATACGAGTTCTCAGTGTCTTATAGATCATGAGCAATAAAAAGATGAAGACCTTCCTGTTGAACGAGATCACAAGTGAGAAATCGAATGTCATCTTCTATGTCCATCGCAAAGAGACGTTTAAGGACTGGTGCTTTGATAAAGAAAATGCCAGATGTTCTTCCGATGCGGTGAGTCTTAACTTCATTGCTCAAGGTATCTACTCTACCTATATATATTATATATATCCCTACTCTGCTATCTACTGGAACTACTCTTTATTGTTCATTGCTTTCTTTACTTGCACTCGTGTTCCCTACACTTAGTCGTGTCGTGTTATTTTCAGTAAGATTTCAGTTAGCCCGAGCCGGTTTTGTGTACACTGGAACCAGAAGAGAACCCGCAGTAGCAAAATGCGTATTCTGCTTCAAAGAGCTAATATTTGAGAAGGAGGATGATCCATGGTGGGCATCCATTCATAAGTTCATTTAATGTCGAGTGCTTATTTCAAAGTTCTGTCTATTTAGGGAAGAACACCGATCGCATGCTAAGAACTGCTGCTTTGTCGAGCTTAATAAGCTTAATGAAAAGGATTGGACTGTGCGTGACTTTATGTCTTTGGTGTCAGGTCGCATAGCTGCTTCACAAGTAACTTTTCCTACATTTCAGTATTGTTTATTATTCGTAAGCAAAATTGTGTTTTCAGAGACAGTCCATACTTGAATTTGCTGAGCAATTTCGAAAAGCTTCTGAAGAAGTTGCACAAATGTACAAGAAAAATATTAAATTGACAAAGAAATCGAAAAAGTAGTTCTCTCTTATTTCACTGTTCATTGTCATTAATAAAGGAGAGNTTATGCATTTATAAAAAATACCGTTCATCGCTGAGAAAATATAACCGGTTCGACGCTTACTGCACTCTCGCTCATCAGTGCTGATCGTGTAAAGCTTTCGTCTGGACCACGAGGATACCTTCTTACTCTCTGATTGAGTACTTCCGACATGAATCTTCTGCAAAGCGCAGATATGTTTAAGTGAAAAATAGGCAAATGTATAACAGAAAAAAATTTGCTGAGCAATTTCGAAAGGCTTCTGAAGAAGTTGCACAAATGTACAAGAAAAATATTAAATTGACAAAGAAATCGAAAAAGTAGTTCTCTCTTATTTCACTGTTCATTGTCATTAATAAAGGAGAGAGAATGAAGCGTTAGATCTTAATAATTGTCTGAGGGATTCGCCATGCATTCAGGTTCATTGAGCAACGTTAGATAGCTGAATGCATATCTGGTCAACAAAAAGATTTGTGGTGCCCCGCCAATGTATCAAGTCAGTATGCCTTAAATGATAGATTAACACGAGTTTGACCAATAACTCCATTCGGTTGACATTTTGACGTCTTATTCTTCCAAGCCGATGATTCGAGTCAACGTCCACAGTCCTTCAGCAATGGAACACCGCTTGAATGAGGCAACCTCAGCCGATGATGCTCCTCTATACAGGACTGATATTGTTGATATAATTGCCCAAAGACAATAACTTGTTTTTCCAGGACAATCCACCCTGCACTGGCCGGTACCATTATCAGCTAGCACAGAGCGTAGTAATATTACAACAAACAACTTTGAAATATTAAGTCAGTATTGCTATCCTCCGAGACAAATTCTCTATAAATTGCCAAGCCCGTAGGGATGGAAGACTTGGTGACCCGTAAGCTAATGTCGAACCAAAAATGTGGTGTATTGCAGGGAACCTCTAACTTCTGCGCTTCACTTGGCCCTGACATTGCCATTACTTCTACCCTATTTGAGACTTTCGTTGCTAGCTTATCGTCTAATTCGCTTCCAACGCCTCCGCTTCTGACTTCTGGAGCAGATGGATTACTTACTGCTAACGCCCACCGCTCCGTTTTCACCCGCTAGCCGACTCTCTTCGGCAAGCACGTAGTTTGGCTGAAATAGTCTGTCTAACATGTGATTTAATAAATATACACCTCTCTCAAAATAAGAATCAGCGAATTTGGAAACCTTACCAAGGATGGTACTACGCAGTCTTTTGTGAGCTGAAACATCCAAACTGGTTGTACATTTATTTTGTTCAAAAATGTTAACTTACAACTTGGAATAACTGCAACTTATAAACAGGAATTGATTTCAAGCAATCCAATAACACTACGCTATTCCGGAGAAGGTCGACAAATTGTAGGCCTCCATAGTTATTGAACGCCAAGTGCACATCCTAAATGGTAGACCTCTAAGATGGAAGAGGCGACTGTAATGGAACGGAGAACAATGCGTGTTAACTAACACTGTAGTTTACTAGAGGTTTGTCATTTTTCATTGAAGACTGAGCCGAAACCAAAATCCTTGGACAGCCTCTGTAGCGCACTCACCATGAGAAGTCATTGCTCTCCTGGCCACACCCAGGCATCGAAAGGTACCTTGATTATCGAAGGTCCATCAGCGGTTGTGCTGAAACCAAAATTTTTGTGCAACAAATACCCATCATCACTTTCCTCGTCCTTAATATAAGACGACCTCCATGAATGAGTAGAAATTTACGGAATACATTTAACAAGGATTGCAAGATTCCAGCTCAAATTAGAGTATTCTTCGCGGATATTTTTGTTACAAAAGCGGTCATCCGATGTTCATATAAGCTGATCACTAAGGAAGGTGCCCTCGTCAAATTGGAAACATGCCGCATGAGAACGTGAACAACGCCCGGGAGACTAGGACATCTACCATAACCCATAACAAAGATCTTTCTTATTGAGAAATGACGCATAACGGCAAACTGTGTGGTGTTCGAGCGTTGTCCAGACCCCACCAAAGACAGAGACATCGAAGTTCTAGAAGAATCAAGATAACTTTAACGACAAGAGAATTTTTAGCGCTGTTAAAAATGATTTTGAATCTCACTGTTATATATCGCAGTAAGAGTGTTCAAGGACTATGCTCGAATTTACAATTTTAGACAACATACTAAGCGCACGATCGAAAAGAAAAACCCTGCATTCATGAGTAGAACATAAACCTCGATGTGTTTAGAGCGTCTAACGAGATCGCGTACAATCTTTGTCACCATTGATGTTGGAGTCATATCCGGTATGAAATCTGCCGCTGCTTTCACTCTACCATGATCCTCATTCTCTTTCAAACCTTCTAATCACTTCACAGTTCAAATTCGCCGTTTAAAATCAAAGCATTTCATTGATTTTCAGTAGCAATCAAAAGAAGCTTGAACATAAAACATGCAGTGGTTTACCAATTTATTACCGCTGTACGAGATGTTTCTAGCTGCCGAAGCATGATGTACAACGGTGGATTATCCACCAACAACGTCGCCCGAGATGAAGATTTCGATGTTTGCCTCCAGGAGTCCATTTAGCGACAAATAGATGAATAGAATCACCGGTGCTTTGAGAGAAACCTATCACCTATGCAAGATGGTATCCCAAAACACGAGGATAAATGACTTCATGAGGGGACAATAATGAGAACGCACTATCAAAGCCACCTCAGAGCTTTAGGAAAAAGAAAAAACATCAACCAACAACAAAACATCCCTACTGTCGGAACGGTACGGATTTCCGCCTATGACATCAAGCAGCAAGATAACTGATGACAGATCGTGATCAAATACAAGGTTGACCATGATGCCATTGCAAGCAGTTCAAAAAATACTCCGATGAAATGTCATATAAGTTTCTGCATCTGCAAAATAAGAACTGCCATCTAACATCATACTCTTGTTGAGGTCACGTGAACATTCCATAAGGGTTGAGAAACAAGAAAACGGGAATACGCCAATTACACGACAGGGTGCAGTCTTTGTCATACATCGCTCCATTGCTCGAATCTGCGACTAATACAAGATCCCATCACCTTATTTTCGCCATCCTTCAACCTATGGGCCAAAACACGCCGGCTTCCATGAACCGCTGCTCACAAACCAGTGCAGCTGACGACAGCGACATAGAGCAGTTGATGAGAGAGACCATGTTTACAGTGGAGGATGGAGACCTGGGAACACCCTAAAATGACTATTCTAGAATTCCAGGGAAAACAGACTCAATCAGTATTCAAGGTCGTTCATAGGAAAGACGACCATTCTCAAATAGGAGCCGACCCATACAGAAATGTGAACATTTTCGCGGAATGCAGATGGTAGGAACGAATTGAAAGCAAGATGTTCTACGATCCACGAATGAGTAATGTGAGGCAACACAAAAGTAAGAATAAAAACATATTGAAGAAAGTGGTTATATACCAAATGCGTTTTTGTGCTTCTATTCCCTGAGACGTCGACGCTTGTTATGACAGGCCAGCAAAATTGACAATAGATTTTTAAAAAAACCGTTTCCTGAGGAAGAGAATCCCCACATTGCCATTGCCTATTGGAACGACTCACTACATGATTATTCACATCGTCAGCGAGGTTAGTTTCCCCTCGATACCTTTGCAGCCTTGCATTCCACATTGGCTCCGACCACAGCCTCCTTCGTGCAAAAACTCCAAACTGGAAAAGAAATGTCACAATAGCTCAAAAAGAAAAATGCAAATTGCGTATGGCAAGATATCCCGGAGGAAAACGATCGCCTACATGACTGCCAGGTTAAATCAAACTCAACTGTAGACTATCAGCTGCTCTTCAACGGAGTCAAGAGCTACGTTAAATACGCCACAATTCATTAGTCCATATGTTTGGATCGTATTTTAACCAATAGAGAGCAGAAAAGAAGAGAATTCAGGTTAGATCCGACGGTAAAACACCTGGTGGGAATGCTAATAATAAACGCAAGCTGCTGATTTCTGCGAAAGCGACAATGGTACGTGCACAATAAGAAACCTTCAGAAGTTTAAAAAGAACCAGTATAGAAAGAATAATTAAGCCATTCCCCTCGCAGACAAACTCCCCAACTGACAGAAGTAACCATGAATTCTTCCCTGTGGTGTTTGAGATGCGATATCACAAACACATCACCAAACAACATCACAAACGTTCTCCTAGGAGCTAGAAGTCACGGGCTACGCATAGTAATCGCAAACCTTATCGCAATACATCTTTGGAAGAACGAACAGTTAATAAATTCAGGACTCGTGCAAGGTATTTACTGCTCGATCGACAACACTTGTTGAATGCAATTTGCCCTCCATGGAGAACATCCTGTTGCATCACCAATGAATTCTGGTGAAGCCTAAGAAGCAAGCCTTATAACTTCATATAGATTGNCGATCGAGAATAAATCGAAATGAATGATTCACCGCGTATAGCGATGCTCCATGGGTCATTTAATGATATTCGTTGAGGTTACCATTTTCGAAACAAGGCAAGGAAAAAAAGTGCCGCAGAGCAAGCGCGACCACTAAATACAGACTATTTGACCGTTCATTTAAGTTAATGAACATAAGAGGCCAGATATGCAAATAACACTTTGTTTTAGCAACAAGCGCACATGGACGGGTGACACAACGCCCAAAGCCACTCATTCCAGAAATGCATAGTGACTGTAACCTTCACTACCTAAAACAAATGGTATGGAAATTTCTTCTTCAGCTACTTAAAGATATGATACAAATATAAAGTTAGATAATATCTAACGTCTAGTGTTTACCACATCACACATATCTTTGAGAAGTTCAGCGAGTTTTCAGTTGATCGTTTAATTCCATCTCAAGCTCATCCAAGAAGTATCCAAGCAGTACTCCTGCGAATATTTAATCAAAAAAGGCGAAAAACCAGAAAAGTCCTATATCTTATCTATTTAGTGAACTGCCTACTTCATTAAAGAATAAAGAGGATGGGAGAACT